ACCTCCTTCGAAAGACTTACTCCCACTACCACAAAGAAAGTCTGCTTTTCCTTCTGACTTTCACCCCCTGGTTGACAGAACCTTGCCCTTCAAATGACCAGAAATTGTGCAATTGCAGAAATTGACGTGGCATTAACGTGGCATCGATTCAAGAACATCTTTGAGCACACGTGATGTCACCTTTTCATCGAGAATTTAGCCACGTGTGCCAATGCCACGTCAATTTCTGCAATTGCACAATTTCTGGTCATTTGAAGGCGAGGGTACAGTCACTGGATGTACATGCCACTTGTATGTGTCTTTCTTATGTAATACCGCACATAAGTCGAATGTGTGGCTCACACTGAAGCAATCGCCAAAAGACAATCTATTCTTTATTATTTTTATGTAGCTATTGAGGCACCGCGTTGGGGCATTCAGAAAACTCTTGTTCCCTTGGCTATGCTATTCCGACCACATTTACAGCTTACATGATCAGAAACGAGAGTGGCGCCACTTCCCACACAAAAGATCAGGGGTTCAAAGACCGCAAAGAACCTCGTCCAGGCTAACCAAGCCCTTCACAGCCGGTTCAGTCATTTGGTACTGCACTTGTGGGGAACGATGCGAAAATTTCTTCTTTCTTCATTCCACCTTTTCCACTCATTAAGCACATATTCTCACACTCGTTGGTCTTCCTCTAGGACATGAGTCCAGTCTTTCAGCCTGATAAGCGACTGTTATGATAAGAAATATTACACTGCGTTGTACTTTGATCCAGTTCTTAAGCTAGAATCCAAAGTTCTAGAGACATAGACCCGACGGAACATTGAATTCTCTTCTCATGATAAATCAAACAATGCATTCAGTTGCACCGGAGGTGTTATCACACTTTTCCAACCAATCTACATCATAGATCACCGCTTCGAAACCACTGTCATTTGCTAGCGGTTCGACCAATAAACATAGGTCAAATTTGTAGCACCGAAAATCATAAAAGAAATCGCAGAAAACTCCCGAGATTGAATATTTGACCCTAACTTCTGGCAAACTAACACGAGAAGGCGGGATTGTCTACTCGCAAAGGACTAGAGTGGCAGATGTAACACGAAGTGTCGAAGCAGGGAATATGCGTTCGAGATTCTCACGGCACGTCGAGGATTTTCACATGATCACTTGCCTTCTCGCGCGCCGAACTTCACACTCGCCATGCGCAAGCCGCCGGTACTCGCCGCGCGTACGTTCACTCTCGGCACTGCTCTCGCACAGTACAGAACCATGGTCGAGAAAATCCTCGCTCTTCCCCTGTAGAGACCACCATCCGAGACGGATCGAGCTGAAGACTAGTGGATACTGCCAGGCTTTAGAATGGCATCAAGCCTGAGTTGTGGAATCTTACGCATCCTTACGGCCCATATTTCCTCTAGAAACCGCACTTCTCCCTCCAAATGGCCTCCCGCTGTTTTTTGTTTTGAACGGATTAAGAAGCCACTCATGGACTTGGCCTTGAGGAAAAACTTCTAAGGGCATAATCAAGTCAGCGTACCAGGAATACACAGATTGAAAGTCAACCCTTGAATACTTGCAGCACCGGGGTAAGAAGATGCCAGAGATTTCGGCTGAATGCTCGCGCACGAAAAGCTAGAGTGGACATAATGACACTTGACACGAAAAAGGACAGGATACTACATGATGAAAACGGGGATTGGGAACATCCTCCTCTCTCAAAGAAACAGCATATCATATCCAACCACACAACGATTTTAAGCGAAACGGTGCGTGCGCATTCCAAAAGCTCCACAAGCCCGATGCTCCGTCTTTCTTTTGTTCAATTCAAACCGTCCATGAATCAATAGAAATTAGCCAAGCGATTACTTTGCTAGCCGTCAGGTGTTAATTCTTCAATATAACAAAATGAATTGGTTCTATAATAAACCCAGCCAGGTGGAATTTACCTTTCATCGAGCAGCATTCTGCTGAATTATTACATCTCATTCTATTATTAAACATTCTATTCATTACAACCACGATATATGAGCTTTAAATTCATATTCCAGTACCTTTGCAAGTTTCCCAAACCCTTACCAGGAAGGTTTAGGGTCAAGCCCGGCAGGAAAAAAAACGGTTTTTGCATGAAGTCGGGACACCTACGCATGGAACGAACAACTATGGCTTTTCTTCCAGAGCGGCCCTCTGAGGCCAAAAAATGGCTGAAAAAGCTCAAGCGCCACACCTTTTTGATACAGTATTGGCAAAATATTCTCATACGGGTTACCAACGGTCGCGATGGTATTATGGCATCCATTGTTAGCCATGGGGCCATTTTGGGTATCACACAAGCGTTCATCGGGAATGCAAAACTTTGTCACCAAGCGGGATTGAACCATTAACTGATCATTCGTCGCTTGTCCGCCTTGGGAGGGCTGCTCAGGGAAGTGAAGCATGGTTCCATGTTCTGCTCCTTTTTCTACGACTAAAACACTGTTTGGAAAAAGCTGGACACGGCCTGAAAGCCTCCCTACATCTGACACCTCAAATAGAAGCCTCCCTTAGAACTCCTCAATGTTAAAATTCACATTGTAAGCTAAGCGACTTTTGAGGCCTTTGGAATTTCTTTAGGTAATTTGTTTAGAATCTCTTAAAACAAGAAGATAGCTAGCCATCGCTAGCCCTGAACTCATCGGTTTTCAAGAAGAAGCGAATATAGCGACTAATCGTTACCTCGTGGGTGCCATGAGAGAAGTTGAGGCGAGCGATGTTCATTCCATTTTGGATCATTTGCTGCAGCATATCCACAGTACGGCATGCCGGTCCTGAAAAAGGCTATTTTTCGTTGTTGTTGTTGTTACCGTAAAAAGTCAAGAACGCTGTAAACTGGTAAGCCTCTTAAATAGTTTTCTTGATGCCTTTCTTCCTGAATTAGTAGATTATTTGGGACCCCTCCGGAACATTTGCGCCATTTTGCTTTCCAGAATATGAAATGTCCAAAGAGAAATCGATTTGAAGAACTACACCCCTACAACATTTGCGGGAAGCGACTAGAACCGTTCTGGAGAGCAAGTCCCTAAAAAAAGAGCAGCATTGAACCACATGGCTTAGAACACCACTAGGGTCTTATCCATTGAAAGGGGACATATAGCGCGAAAGTGCTGACGCCGATAAAAATTGCAGTCTCTGTGAAGGGGAAATCCCCGCACCATTCCGATTCCGTTTTTGCACCCCTCCCATACTTTTCTTACCCTGCAAAATTTGGAATTATGGTATGCGATATTAACAAACCAATCCCCCTTACTATATACCCTAATCTCATTACCCGTCCCATATTTTCCGAAAATTCATTGCAGATGCTAATATATATCTATATGCCCTCTAATCATTGCTCATTTTTCAAAGAAAAGAGAATACTGGAAATTCTTTCTGGAAGTTTTGAAGGAACAAATTAGATTTTCCATTTGTCTGGTCTTCTCAACATACCATGGATGTAAACCACGGAATTTTTGAGAACATGCCAAAGGTTCCGCCGCTCAAAATTGACTGCTCACTGAGCGAGACTTTTGCGCGACATAACGCCTCTTATCTTTGACCTCTTCTCTATGTTGCAACAATTTCCGTGAAGATTTGGCCAGGACCGTAGAAAACACGTCTCACACCCGCTCAAAGCTTCCAAAAAATACGGCAAGCCCCTCTCATTTCAGTCTCTGCCTCGCACTACAACAATAAGTATGATCACCTTCACCAAAAAAAAACTCAAGTACGACCACCGTAGAGAACTGATGACGCAGGCTGACCTTGATTGGCGACACAAATATATACGCTATCCGCAAAACCAGATGCTCATCGAGTGCAGACCACACAACACAAATGACGAAGGTCACCACACAATGCAAACATTTTTGCCATTGAAATGATTAGCCGGTTGCAGGTGAATTTTATCAGCTGTCATTAATCACTACTATTACCAACTATCAGCTACCACCCATCAACGATCACTATTACCCGAAGATTTACTTGAGACGTCATTATGGAAAAGTGGTCTGCGCACTCGAACGCGTATCTGGTTCTCGGAAGGGGAGGGTAGGATGGAGCGCGAGCAGCGCCAGAGTTGCTCGACAGGGGCGGAACCTTCATCATGCATACACCCAAGTTATAGAATTCCAGGTACTGTGCTTTTTGTGGACCATGCGCGCTCCAAAGCATGAATAGATGCATTGGATTTGGCGTTCACTTCCCAATATACAATTCATGAAGGAGCCTTCCGGACGACCGCAAGGGTTCATTCCTTTCAAGAAATGCAGATCTTTCCAGTTAGGAGACTATTGCGATGGCAGAAGCCTTGCTTCTAATGTCCAGTTCGCGCCAGAGTCTTCAAGTAACAACTGCTATCCAGCTCTCATTCCTTGCGTTTTTTTTCCTGGTTTTTAGATAATGTGTTTGTCCTTGAGGGGGGGGCATCATGATCAGTTTCTCGGCGAATAAGTGTGAACTCGAACATTCCAGCTTTTCACCAAGTGACTGTCCTCGCCACCTCCCCCTTACACTGGCTACACTTCCCCTGGCTCAGCTTTTCCCCGAAAACACTGCATGCCCACCCACTAACTGGAATGGACCACTTGTGTTTTACAACAGAAACATCCATGAAAAGTAATATCTACCTAGGAAGAAGCTAGGGCTACCTGCACGCCTATGGAGGTGGAGGAAGCCCCATCGATGAAAGTGAAACTGCTCTCAACCCGAGCGTTTCCCCCCTTCGAGCTCCGTCCTTACTTTGGCATTGCGAAGAACATGCTACCGTGGCACAGCAATTCGCCCCCCTACCTGGGACAGACCAAGGGATTTTCTATGGAAAGAATCGTTCCAGTTGCACTTTCCAGCAATTTTAAGTGCGTTCGACCGCAATCCTCAGAACGACCTGTTCGAATTGCGTAATTTGATTGCGACCGGCACTCAACCTCGATCTTTTTCGCTCAGTCGTTTGGACATTGTAATGACAGTGGACGCGACAAATTGAATTCCTCACCAATGGTGCAGATGATTCCGGTCTTACGAACGACATGTGGAGGCTCGCGAATATCGAGCCGACAAAGATGTTCCAGATGAGTCGTCGCGACATCCACGATCTTCTGCTCCTGTCTGAAACATTTCAGAACATTTTACATTCACTGGCAAATACAGCATATTTTTTCCAGATCTATTTATACTCCCTTTCAAAATCGAGAAGAGCGTCGGGTGCAGACCATACACCACAAGTGACGACGGCCTCCACAAAATGTAAATGTTTTCTGCCAATGAAATGATTAGCCTGTTGCAGTTGTACCAAAAATCAGCTATCACTATGAACCACTACTAACCAGATTTACTTGGAGGCCGTCGTCACTTGTGGTGTATGGTCTGCACCCGACGCTCTTCTTGTTTTGAAAGGGAGGGTAGTTCCACGTCATCTGCGTTCAATCTCTAATACCGCTTAGCACACCGGAACTTGATTACTTTCACCGTTTCCAAGGAAACAATCCCTTCTTAGCATCTGTCGCGCCAGCTTTCCCTCATCCGCGCTGAAAAAAACCGAAAAGAAGGAAGTCTGCCTATGGCGCTATCGCAATATACGGGGGCATTCGTGTCAAGTAGTGGTTTGGATTCAAATTAGAAGAGCGCCTGCTTTACCTAGTACTAAGGTTAAGCTTTTCAAGAGGAGGTCGCAAGATACGGGGCCATTGTGGTGCCGCGTAAAATAACTCCTTCATGTCAAAAATAGGATTAAGTCCTAGGTGGAGAAAAAGAGGCTTCAGATTGCGTTAGCATTTTTTATTCAACGATGTTCCTGCCCCTCCTGGATTTAGCCCTAGAGGATGCCCCTTATCTTGCGATAGCACCTAAAAGGAGTAGATATTACAAAATCAGAAAAAAAAGCAGCGGCGTAGGAATAAAACTACTGGCCTTGAGTCAGGAATACACGTTTAAACGCGTTCTGAGCTTTAACCAGGTCTCAACAAGTATGTAACCACGACTTGACCAGAATGCACACGTTCAGACAAAATGCCCCCGTATATTGCGATAGCGCATATATTACTTACTCTTTGGCAAATTATAGCAAAGGGGGCCACATAGTAATTATCGAGTACGAACTTATTGACTTAGCTCAAAATTCTAGTCAAAATTAAGTGGGCCTGCTGTTTTTACAGTACCCAGCTGTAGCAGGGGCGGAAATTTTCTAGAATTGCCTGACACCCAAGATAGACTGCAAAGTGTTCACACCGGAAAGCATTACATTTCTGCTCATCGAGTCTTAGCCCCTAATTAACGGCTATTTTCGCCAACGGGCGAAGCCTCACTGGATGCGACCCCTTTCCCATGCCCAATTAACAAGAGTAATGAGGCTATTCACAGCTGAGCGCTAATGCAAGCCACTTCAGTGTGTACTAGACACATCTGCTAATATATCAGACAACAAATTTTCATAGTATACTCTGTTCCGAGAACCTGAAGCGCTTCGAGTACAGACCACACAACACAAGTGACGGCGCCGTCCAAGTATATCCGATAACTGTGGAT